GTAATCAATTGACAGCATAGAAGAACTACACTCCAGGTAGCTCTCAGATACTATAACCTCAACTTCATGGGAAATTCTTGAACGTCCCAGGGCTCAGTTCTTGAATCTCTCCTACTTTTCCTTTTTATTCTCTCTCTAGCATTTTCATCCAAATACATGGCGTAATACGTTCTGTATGCTGACTCCCAAATGCATACCTGCAATCCAGAACTCTCCCCTGATTTCCAGACCCATGTGTCCACCTGCACACAGGACATCTAACAGAGGTCTCAAACTCAACAGGTCCCCGAGCTCCTCCTGCTGACCGTAAACCTGCTTCCCTGTCTGTGTTAATGGTGGCACCATCCTCCTCCACCCCGCTCAGGTTAGAAACCCTGGTGTTGTCCGTGACTCCTCCCTTTACAGCAGGTCCTTGCAGCGAACACTGAGAAAACATCCGTGGTTCTATGCCCGTCACCAGCCACGCTGCTGCCTCAGTCCAGCCCCCTTCTGCTCCTGCCTTGGTTACTGTAGCAGCCTCCACGCTGGCCTGCCTGCTGTCCCGCCTGCCCCTTCCCCCCTTCAGTCTGCCCTCAAGACTGAAACCAAGTGACCGTGTTAACGCCGAATCATCTCACTCCACTTTCCAGCTGTTGGCTGGCCTTCATCTTACTCGTCTGTCTCTACCACAACGTATGAGGCTTCCTGTGGTCTCCTCCGTGTCCTCTAACCTCATTGCCCACCCCTTCGGTCATTCCACTCCAGCCAAGTGGCCTCCTGTCTGCGCTTAGAACACGCCAGGGTCTGTGCAGGTCCAGGAGGGCTCACACCAAGACATCTCATTGGTTAGCCTCCTCACTTAACACAAGCCTTTACTCCAGAGTCGTTTCTCCTGAGGACTTCTTTGGCCAACCTATGTGAACTGAACCCAACCCCTCGACCTTCCATAGCCCCCTTTCCTGCTTTGTTATTTCTCCTTGGCACTTGTCACCATACAACATAGTGTATACTATGTTGAGCCTATTGACTTTGATTCCTGTCTCTTTTATGCCAATGTAAGTTCTGGTGAGTAGATGTTTCATCGTTTTTTTTTTTTTTTTCTTTTTGAGTGTGTGTGTGTGGGAGAGAGAGAGAGAGAGAGAGAATAAAGGGGGAAGAGGGATAAAGAGAGAAAATATTATGTGGATGTGGAGCCCCATGTGGGGTGCGTCCAAATGTTTCATCTGTTTTTATCCCCAGCTCTGAGAACAGTGTTTGGCACATGGTAGGTTTCAGTAAGTATTTGTTGAATGAATGATCTGTTTTCTACTTATAAAGACCAGTTAAGAGGAACAGAATATTTCCTCCTTTTCCTCAAAATAAGCTAAATTGGAAATACTATGCATCTGTCAGAATAAGAGTAGTACTTCTTATTTATGGGTCCTTCACTACTTATTATTTATCCACCCCTCACCTGCTGGCACTGTGCTGGGCATGGAAGGAACACACTGAGTCACAGAGAAGTTAGGAAATGTGCTCCAGATCACATAGATAAAAGGCTTTGCCACTCACATGGTCTCCAGAATGTTCCTCTACCTGGATCTTCTATGTGAGGTTGTCAGTCTATGGTGAGAAACTGTGGAGGAAGCAACCCTGTGAGCCTCATCATTTTGACTAAAGTATGGAAGCTATTGAGAAGACCACAGGAAAACTTTGTTCTGATTTTAATATTTCCCTGCATCTGAGAATGTAGTTGGCTTCTTGACTTATGGAACAGTGAGTTGTGTCATTAATGAGCACTCTCTTTTCTCATTTGACACTACAAAACTTAAACCTGGGTGTCTACCATGCCCTCTCCAATATAGGTCAGATTTTGGGTATTATCTTCACATTTGTTTTCTTTTGACCTGCGTATGTATCTCTAATTTCTATTTTCCTGAAGTATTTTATGATTAAGTTTCTTTTTTTTAACTTGAAGTAGAATTTAATAACTTTGCAGTTATTTCCTTTAAGTAATATTAAAAGCTGAGCTGAGGTACAAAATTAAATTGGTGTCAGGAATGAAGTAATGGTTTATATAAAATGCTGCTGACTCTGGACTTGCTCATCCCAGCAACTTTTTAAAAATGAATTATTAAAAAAATGTTTAATTCCAATATAGTTAACATACAGTGTTGTATTAGTTTCAGGATACGATATAGTAATTCAGCAATTCTATACATTACTCTGTGCTTATCATAATAAATGTAGTCTTAATCTCCTTCACCTATTTCACCCATCCCCCCACCCACCTCCTCTGGTAACCATCAGTTTGTTCTCTATAGTTAAGAGTCTGTTTTTTGGTTTGTCTCTCTCTCTCTTTTTTTTTTTTTTTTTTTTTTTTTTTTTTTTTTTTTTTTTTTTTTTTGTATATTTGTTTTGTTTCTTAAATTCCACATATGAGTGAAGTCATGGCCATTCTGACTTATTTCACTTAATATTATACTCTCTAGATCCATCAATATTGCTGCAAATGGCAAGATTTCATTCTTTTTTATGGCTGAGTTATATATATATATATATATATACACACACAGCACATCTTCTTTATCCATTCAACTATTAATGGACACATGGATGCTTCCATAATTTGGCTATTTTTTAAGTTTATTTATTTATTTTTGAGTGACAGAGAGACAAGTGGGGGAGAGTCGGAGAGAGGGGGAGACAGAGAATCCCAAGCAGGCTCCATGCTGTCAGAGCAGAGCCTAATGTGGGACTCAAACCCATGGAACTGTGAGATCATGACCTGACCCTAAACCAAGAGTCAAACGCTTAACTAACTGAGCCACCCAGGTGCCCCATTTTGGATCTTTTAATTAATGTTGCAATAAACATAGGGGTGCATGTATCCCTTTGAATTGGTGTTTTTTACTCTTTGGTTAAATACCTAGGTGGAATTACTAGATCATATGGCAATTCTATTTTTAATTTTTTTGATGCACCTCCATGCTGTTTTCCACAGTGGCCACACCAGTTTGCATTCCCACCAACAGTACACATGGGTTCATTTTTTTCCCCACATCTTCAGCAACGCTTATTGTTTCTTGTGCATTTTTTAAATCATTCTGACAGGTATGAGGTGGTATCTCATTGTGGTTTTGATCTACATTTCCCTGATGATGAGTGATGCTGAGCATCTTTTCATGTGTCTGTCAGTCATCTGTGTGTCATCTTTGGAGAAATATTTGTTCATGTCTTCTCATTTTTTTAAAGTTTATTTATTTATTTTTGAGAGAGAGCACAAGCAGGGGAGGGGCAGAGATAGAGAGAGAGACACAGAATCCCAAGCAGGCTCCAGGCTCTGAGCTGTCATTGCAGAGCCCGACGTGGGGCTCTAACTCACTAACCATGAGATCATGACTTGAGCCAAAGTCAGATGCTTAATCAACTGAGCCACCCAGCTGCCCCTCTTCTTCCCATTTAAAAAAATTTTTTTAACATTTTGTTTTATTTTTTGAGAGACAGAGGATGAGCAGGGTAGGGGCAGAGAGAGAGGGAGACACACAATCCAAAGCAGGCTCCAGGCTCTGAGCTGTCAGCACAGAGTGCAATGCAGAGCTCAAACCCACAAACACAAGATCATGACCTGAGCTGATGCCGGATGGTCAACCCACTGAGCCACCCAGGCACCCCTCTTCTTCCCATTTTTTAAATAGATTATTTGGGGGTGGTTTTGGTGTTGAGTTGTATGTTCTTTATATATTTTGGATACTAACTCTTTATTAGATATGTCATTTGCAAATGTCTTCTCCCATTCAGTAGGTTATCTTTTAGTTTTGTTGATTGTTTCCTTTGCTGTGCAATAGCTTTTTGTTTTTGTTTTGAAATTTTTTAATGTTTATTTATTTTTGAGACAGAGAGATAGAGCATGAGTGGGGGAGGGGCAGAGAGAGGGAGACACAGAATCTGAAGCAGGTTCCAGGCTCTGAGCTGTTAGCCAAGAGCCCAACATGGGACTCAAACTCACAAACCATGAGATCATGACCTGAGCTGAGGTTGGACGCTCAACCAGCTGAGCCACCCAGGTGCTCCAGTAGCTTTTTGCTTTGATTTAATACCAGTAGTTTATTTTGCTTTTGTTTCCCTTGCCTCGGGAGACATATCTAGAAAAATGTTGCTACAGTAGATGTCAGAGAAATTACTGCCTGTGTTTTCTTCTAGGATATTTATGGCTTCAGGTCTCACACTTAGGTCTTTAATCCATTTTGAATTTATTTTTGTGTATGGTATAAGAAAGTGGTCCAGTTTCAGTCTTTTGCATCTAGATGTACAGTTTTTCCAACTCCATTTGTCGAAGGGATGGTCTTTTTTCCCATTGCACATTCTTGCCTCCTTTGTCAAGGATTAGTTGACCATACAATTCTGGGTTTATTTCTGGCCTCTCTATTCTGTTTTGTGCCAGTACCATACTGTTTTGATTACTATAGCTTTCTAGTATATCTTGGAATCTGGGATTGTGATACCTCCAGTTGTCTTTTTCTTTTTCAAGATTACTTTGGTGATTTGCTGTCTTTCATGGCTCCATGCAAATTTTAGGATTATTTGTTCTAGTTTTGTAAAAAATGCTGTCAGTATTTTGATAGAAATTGCATTAAATATGTAGATTGCTTTGGGTAGTATTGACATTTTAGCAATATTGGTTCTCCAAATTCATGAGCATGGAATATCTTTACATTTGTTTCTGTCATCCTCAATTTCTTTCATTAGTGTTTTATAGTTTTCAGAGTACAGGACTTCCATCTCGTTGGTAAAATTCATACCTAGGTATTTTATTTTGTGGGGTACAATTGTAAATGGGATTGTTTTCTGAATTTCTCTTTCTGCTGCTTCACTATTAGTGTATAGAAATGCAACAGATTTCTATGTATTGATTTTGCATCCTGTGACCTTTATTGTAAGCTTCTTTGAACTCTTTTGGGAATAGGGCAGGGTGTGAATAGGTACATGTCCTGTCCATGCATTCGTGACTTGTGTGGATAACTCTACTAATCATCATTTAGGAAGTAGAGGCACAGTTGGAGGAAGTGAAGAAGAAATCAGAAAATGAAATCAAGCAGCTGGAAGAAGAGAAAACAGCCCTAAATGTGAAGCTCCAGAATTCTCTGCTCGAGGTAAATCCTGAATTAATGCAGTGCTTGGGAGTGATGGTTCTGGGTGGGAGTCTTGGTTAACTGAGATGCCAGGAATCTCAGAAAACTGGCCCGACTTCTGTACATTCAGCATCCTCAGCAGAAAGGAAAGGACTTCGTCCTGACAAGAAATATGTCTCAGGAGGCATAAATTTAGCTGCAAGTAACAGAGAGCCCGATTTATGGAGGCTTAACAAAGAGGCGTTTAATGTCTCACATAAAAGAAGGAGGCAGGAGGCTTCTGGGGTTGATTCTGTGGCTAAATTATATCAGGCCGGGTACATCTGAGATTCCCATAGTCCTGCCTCCTCCTGGGCTCTGTCCTCACTTTCAGGAGTATTAGGTGCTTTGCCTTCATGGGCTCCTTCCTCTACTGGAAAAAATATCAAAAAGCATATTTTATGACTACATTGGTATGAAGATGAATATAGCCAAGCTGTATTTTTACCTTCTGACTTTAAAAGAAATTAAAACATTGTCGTGGCCCCTAAAAGTATTGTGGGCCCTAGGCCCTGTGCCTTCTGTGTCTAATGGAGAAATTAGCTCAGATTCCCCCAGACTGGGAAAATGACTGTCACTGCTTCATTGTTGAGCCCAAATTTACACCAAGAAATGGGGATAGGCAGTGAAGACCAGGCCTGTCCACTTCATCAGGAAACCACCAGCCTCCACAGAGGGCTCCCACTGACTCTTCCTCCCACTGGTAATGTCTGCATCACGGGACCAGCCTGGGAGGCGCGAGTGGAGGCAGGGAAGGGAGAAAGGGGTAGAGAATGCCTGTAGACCAGCTGAACATCACAGTTTGCTTGGTGGGGAAGTCCACCTACCCAGACCACCCAGAAACCAACGTCAAAGTTTAAAAGACCTGTTGACCATGTTATGGTGGGGGAAGAACTCTTGGGAGGGCCTGGAAACAGGCTTCATTCTTTTTTTTTTAATGTTTATTTATTTTGAGAGAAAGAGCATGAGCGGGGGAGGGGAAGAGAGAGAGAGGGAGAGAGAGAACCCCAAGCAGGCTCCATGGTGTCAGCACAGAGCCACGCGAGGCTCAATCTCACAAACTGTGAGATCGTGACCTGAGTCGAAATCAGGAGTCGGATGTTTAACTGACTGAGCACCCAGGTGCCCCCCGGCTTCATTCTTGAGCCTAATTAGACCCTCAAAAAATGTAAAGAGGTTTCCTTACTTCCCCTACCCTCCTTCATACATTCCAGATGAGCCCTGAGTCCACCATCCCCTCAGGAGCCCATGAAATTGGTTCCTCAGCCCTGATCAAGCACTACAACCTCCTAGGGGGGTTTTTGAGAATATAGAAGCCGTGTGCAAAATAGTCTGGATTGTTTAAGGATACCTCTAATGGAGTTCGGTCTGGAGACATGCATGGTGAGAGAAGAAAACCTGAACTGGTGGTTATTTCTAGAAGGGAGAGGGGGTGGTGGATCAGGGAGAAGCTCAGGGGCCTGCAGCGGTGTCTGTGATGTGTTCTCCCTTCAGCTGAGTGATGAAGGGAGAAAAACACATTCGGTTTTTCTATGTCACAAGTTATCATTTTTCTAAAAGGTGAACGTGCCAAGCCTTGAACTTGATATATCAGGGGCTCTGGAGGAGAGGTCCTGGTGGGAAGTCTCTGCTCCGGAGGCTTTCGTTCCACCTCAGCCCCAGTTGGCTGCACAGCAAAGATGCCCGTTTCGCTCTCACTCCTCTCTCCCTCCCTTCTGAGTTATACTGCCGATCTTTACACCGGATCTGGACTACTCTGTGCTGCAGAACTTAGAGAAGCTTCAGCCCAGTTATCCTTCTGACATGGGACCCTGGGGTCACCACCTGATGATTTCCCCGAATGCCCCTCAGAACCCCTCAAAAAATGACAAGAGTGAGTTTCGTCAAGTGCCTGCTTTAGTTCAGGTACTATCTGAGCAGTTTCCATATATCAACTTTTAGTCCTCACAACTGCCACACAGTAGGTGCTGTTGTGATCTGTGGTTTACGGATGAGTTAACTGAGGCACAGAGATGGTAAGTCACTTCCTCAAAGTCACACAGGTAATGAGTAGTGGGTCTCAGATTCCAACCCAGGTTATGCGGCTCTGAAGACCCCACTCTTAACCGTTATGCTAACACTATGTGCAGCACAGTATGCTGTGTCTCTGATGCCCCAGGATCACTCAGGACATGAGTATCTGCAGATGGCTGGTGTGACCCAGAGGCTGACCTTGACAAAGGCCTGCCCGTCACCCTCCATTCCTTCCACAGCCTTGGTGGCGACATCATCTATTCACCCGCTTACCAAAGCGAGAAATGGAAGCGTCAGCCCTGACCTCCTCCTCTCCTGCTCCTCCGTCCTCACCTACAGTCCCTGCCCTGCCCACCCTCACATCCACTCAGCTGTCAAGTCCTGTGTGTCCTACCACTGAAGGCTCTCAGTCCCCCTCCCCTGTCTTTATCAGCCCCCCAGGATGGCTCACCTAGGCTGTTTTTCTTTACCTCTTATAGACATTATGTGAACAAGTGCATAGAACTCATTTGAGTATTTCATAAGCCTTAGCAAGATGTAGTATAAGTAGTTTCATAATCTTCTTCTTCTTCTGTGATGTTGCCTGGAGTCTTGAAAGTCTTGGCCTGTATCTCCCTGCCTCTACCTTCTCCCTAGGCTGGCTAATTCCAGAACTAGCATTCTAAACCCCAGATATGCTCAAGGCCCCACTCCTCCTTCTCCCAAATCTTTTAATCGCCATGTTTTTCATAATATGGGCCTAACCTAACTCTCCGCCACTACCCCCCAGGACTCTGTTTTCTCCCATCCACTCCTTCATGCTGGGCCCCTGACATGGAACTTTCCTCCAATTCTCACACACATCCTACCTTCCCTCTGCCATTGTACCTACTATTCTTACCACCTGGAATGTCCTTTCTCACCCTGGCCACGGATGGACTCCTATTCATCCTTCAGTGCCCATAAAGCTGCCCTGGACTCCCCTCGGCAGAGTTTATTGCTGTAAATTCTCTGCAGTAGTATGTATCTCCCAGTAATTGTTGTGAGGTTTAGAGGAGTTTATACTGTCAAATGCTTAGATCTGTTCCTGGCACAGAGCAAACTCACCATCAAAGGTACTATTATTAGTTTGTCTTCTGAATGTTGCTGTGATTATAAACATGTATCTGCCTCCTCCATAAGATGACAACTCCTAGAAAGCATGGGCTATATTTTATTCTCTTACCATCTTGCTCTCACTCTGTCCCTCTCCCTTATCTCCTCATACCTGGCATGATGCCTGAGGAGGACTAGCTTTCCTACAAAGATTTGTTAGCAACATCTAAGTTTCCTGTATGGTTCTAGGCCTTGTTCTTCCCAAAGTCTAGAACAGAGAAACCAGTCTGTTTAATTGAGACTCTACACTTAATTGGTTAATAATAATCATCATAATTAAGGCTATACAATTTAATAGCACCTTCTAGCCACTGTTTCATTTTATTGGTATAATTCTTTTTTTTAATATTTGTTTGGAGAGAAAGAGCAGGGGAGTGGGAGAGAGGAAAGAGAGAATCCCAAGCAGGCTCTGCTGTCAGCACAGAGCCCAACATGGGGATCAATCTCATGAACAGTAAGATGACCTGAGCCGAATTCAAGAGTCGGCCGCTTAACCAACTGAGCCTCCCAGGCACCCCTTATTGGTATAATTCTTAAATACTGTTCCTTTTCTTTACCAACTAACTTTTTAAAAAAAGAAATTCAGTGACCTTCCAGGAATGGTATGAAAGCCAGTGAAAACCACCCTGCAGCTCTAGTATAAGTGTATTTATATAAATAATTTAAAAGGAAGTATAGGCTCATCTATTCCAGGAAGACGAAGCAACTTGCCAATTAGAAATGCCCTTTCCAGAAGCACATTTGGAATTTGTCTAATGGAGCACTGTCCCCAGAACTGACTGACCCAGGAGAATGGTTTCCCAGATTAATGACCCCATCAGGAGATGGGACTTTGTTTCCATTACCAAGCATTTCTTTTCTTCCATTTTAGGTTTTAAGACTGGAAGAATTTATCCAACAGAATAAGGTACATCCCCGAAGAGACAAAGAAAGGCCCCAGGAATTGGACCGCCAGCGCTGTAGTATTTTAGAGATCCAGGTAACCTCTGTTTTTTTCTGCTTTAATTAAGGATATTTCTCTTCTTTCCGCACTTCATCGTCCCCAGTGACACATGCTGGCATTAAGAGGTTCTTTTATTTCCCCCCTCAGAGCTGCCAAAATGCCTGGAAAATAAAAAATCACCACAAAATCCATTTGCACAAACCGTGAAGAAAATAGAGTTCCAAGTAATTATGCATGTGGTTTGAAAAAGAACAAGGCTTGTCAGATGAAACCTTCTCTCCCTCTCTGAGAGCAGCTTGCCTGGTAGATAGAAGGGCACTCACCAAGAGCTGGCCTCCTGTTCTGCCCAGCAGGAAGCATAGTAATAATGCTGTCTGGCCACCCCCCCTCCGCCTTTGTGGTATCAGTCACTCTCATACTAGCTCTTCCCCACAATGCTGCCCTTTCAGGGACTCTGCCCCAGGGCGGAAGCTGGTTCCTGTTTGTCCTCTGTCAGCTCATGATAAGCTATTTTATTTTCCTAGGGACGCCATGATGAATTACCACACACTTGGTGGCTTAAGCCACAGAAATGTGTTGTCTCACAGTTTTGGAGGGGAAACATCCCAAATCAAGGTGTCAGTAGGGTTGGTTCCTTCCTGAGGCTCTGAGGGAGAATCTCCTGCATGCTTCTCTACCAGCTTCTGATGGCTGCTGGCAATCTGTGGCACTTGTGGTTTGCAGATGCATCATTCCAAACTCTACCTCTGTCATCACGTGTGTCTATGCGTCTGGCTCTTCACTAAGGAAAACCTTCTTCTAAGGACACCAGTTGTTGGGTTTAGGGCCCACCCTAATGCAGTTTGACCTCATTTTAACTAACTACATCCACAAAAGCTTATTTCCAAATAAGGTCACCTTAGTAGGTACTTGGGGCTAGGGCTTCAATATATCTCCCTGGGGGCACAATTTAATGCAAACCACAGGCACTCATTTAACATTTGTTGCATGATGTCAAAAACAGATAATTCCTGTGAAGTTAGTGTTTGAGCACCCTGGCTTGGATGATCCTCTTGCTTCAGCTTTCCTGTTATTAACCTTCACATCTGGAGCCATCAAAAGCCCACCACTGTAAAATTTTACTTATTACTGCCCTAAATTTTCAGTCTGCCCTAAATTTTCAGTCTGGGAAAACACATGTGAGTCTGAATCTCATTGTTTCACCCTCACCCATCTCTTATTCATCACATCCGTGTGCCTGAGTGTCTACAGAAACAGGCAGTTTCTCTTCCTCGACCTCAGACTTCCAGAGCTTGAGCCCTGATCCTGCCAACAGTCCCCTGGCTTGCCCCACTGGGATTGCTCATACTTAACCACGTATTCATCAGGGTAAAAATGAGCCTAAAATCTGGTGGATAAGGACTTGAATAACAACATTTGTATGGGACCTGGTCAGTTCTAGAGCACGGTCCCCATCTCTGACTTCATTGGAGTTTTACAACAACCCTGTAATGTACTCATTTTACAGAGGAAGAAACTGAATGACAGAGCAGTTGGGTGACTTGCCCATGGTCACAGGCATCCAAGCAGCCAGGACAGAACAGAACTACTTGTCTATGGTTCTGATCCTCTACTCTCCTTGTGAAAGTATCAACACATGCCCAGACACCTCCCAGATGAAACTGACCTCAACTCTGTCTTGAGGTTGAGAAGAGCAGCAAGGATTCCCTGTGTTTCCCTTTCTGACACCCAGAGACTGGGGGGAATCCTTGAGCAGCCCTCATTGCTCCCACATAAGCCTATAGGAGAAAGCTGAAGGCACCTTCATCCATAGGGCTGGTCCTTCCTGATCTGGGGCTACCCATCCTTTCTGATGATGTCTTCCTGAGAAGTAGGCAGGTATTTTCATTCTCCCGCAGTTTCTCAAGAACCAGCCTCATGAGCGAGCCTTCTGTTAGAAGAACTTCTAGCCCCAGGGACAGCTGAACTTCCCGCCAGCACACTGTGCAGTTTCTCAGAGAGACTCTTCCTCAAATATTTGAATATTTCTCAGCTCCTCACACTGACTGTGGCAGGGAGATCGGATGGAGTTGGCTGGGATCCTGAGTGAGGAGATTCCAGTGAAAATAAGGTTGATAAGCTCAGGAATATTGTGCATTGGCTGCATTTTCAGGGGACAATACACAAACATAGAAATTCTAGGTATGTTCCAGGACTGATGAATAAGGGCCAGAGCTGGTATGTCAGCTCAGGGTTTCTCTGCCTGATCCCCAGTCACTACCCACCAAGTGCCAATAGCATCTCCCCGATAAAAATGTCTCAGCCAAAAATGTCTCCAGATGTCATCAAGAGTCTCTTAGGGACAAAATTGCCCCCAGTTGAGAACCACTGATGTAGCTAAGAGCCCTGAAGAAGTTCAAAATCCAAGTGCATGTTGACAACCATGAATTGGTTCACCATGAAACTTGGCTCTCCTACCACCCTCCTTGGTCTAGAACATTGTCCCTTATGAACCCAGTTTCTAGAGAGTGGTATGTATCTCTCCTACATAGAATTGCCCATGGAACCTTGAAGAATACCAGTTCCATTTGGTTCAACTCTGCATGCACATTATTCATTCATTCCCCAGTCATTTGTGGAATAGCTAGGAGGTATCAGCCTCTGAGCTAGATGCTAGAGGAGAGAAAGATTCATAAATCAACAGTGTTAAGACTATGTGGACATTTAGAAGTAGAATTAAACTTCTATTTAAATTTAATTTAAATTAAATTAAACTATGTTTTCTATTAAGCAACTATTATATACTTTACAGGTAGAGTTTGTTCTTTTAACATGTTTTCTTTTCAAATAATCAATCCATGTTTGTGCCACAGAATTTAAAAGGTATATAAAGGCATACTATGAAAAGGATCCCTCCTCCCCCCAGTTCCCTATCTTGTCTATCTGCTTGTCTATCTGCTCAGAGCTATACTGTGCGTATGCAAGCATAATTATGAATATATTATTTTTTCTACAAATGGTAGCATACTGCCTTGTGCTCTACTTTTTGTACCTTAAAATTTCATAGAGAAAAAAAATTTTTTAACTTTTTTTTTAACGTTTATTTATTTTTGAGACAGAGAGAGACAGAGCATGAACGGGGGAGGGGCAGAGAGAGAGGGAGACACAGAACCGGAAGCAGGCTCCAGGCTCTGAGCCATCAGCCCAGAGCCCGACGCGGGGCTGGATCTCAGGGACCGCGAGATCGTGACCTGAGCTGAAGTCGGACGCTTAACCAACTGAGCCACCCAGGCGCCCCTCATAGAGAAAATTTAAGGAGATTGTAACACAGCAGTAAACCTCCATATCAACCTCATTTTTTTAAAAAGAAAAACCGTAATATATTTAACCTTTCCCTTATGATAGATATTTTGGTTGGTTTTTCCATTACAGGGACTACTTCACTGGATAGCTCTGTAGTGGGATATAGTGTAGTATAGTGGTTAGGAAAGCTCACCCCTGAACCAGACGCTTGGGCTCTTATTGGCTAGAGAATCTCAAATGATTTAGTCTCTTTGCTTAAGCTTCTTCATCTGTAAAATGGGGCAATGATACCATCTATCTCAGAGGGCTTTTGTGAGAACTAAATGAATTAATATATGTATAGTGTCAGAAAGTACCCAGCATGTGGAAATGCTCAGTAGGTGCCAACTCATGATTGCAGAATTTTCTGACTCCAGTGGCATGTGATTTTTTAACTTTGATAGTTATGCCACATTGCCTTCCATTGATGATGTCCCATGGCACACTCCCAATGGCAGCGCATGTGAGTGCCTGTTTCCCCACAACTTGGCCAACACAGCACATTACAAAACTTTCTGAACATGACCAGTCAGAGAAAATTTAGAATTTAGTTGAAATATTCTTGACACGCCAACTATATGCCAGCCAAGGGAGTCGAAGCTTTGCTCAGGCTCTAGAGAGACAAAGTCCTAGAGATTCTCTCAGGCTAGTGCAGAGGATATGTTAATGGCCCTCTGCTGTGCAGTGATAGCTTTCACTACACAGGAACCTGCAAGGGGCAGAGTCTTGAAGAGAAGGCTCAGAGGGGATTGAACCATGTGGCTGCTCATCCAGAGGTGGAAACAGGGACAGGACGCCAGAACCAGATGTTATATGACCACTTCCCCAAAGATATTCTTGCTGAACTGGGGGCTATAAAATTTAAGTTTGTTCAAGACTCAGGCATTCCGGGGTGTCTGGCTGGCTCAGTTGGTTAAGCATCTGAGACTTCGGCTCAGGTCATGGTCTTGTAGTTCATGAGTTCGAGCTGCACATTGGACTCTGCACTGGTGGTGCAAAGCCTCCTTGATATTCTCTCTCCCTCCCTCTCCCTCTCTCTCTCTCTCTCTCTCTCTCTCTGCCCCTTCCCTACTTGAATGTGTTCTCTCTCAAAATAAATAAATAAACTTAAAAAAAAATACTCAGGAGTTTTAGTTTAGGCCATTGGCTCTTCTGCCAAAGCAGTGCAGAGTCAAGAAGATATAAATAATAACGCCGATTGAGAATCGAGCTGTTTTCATTCCACTCCCAGAACATGCAGAGAGAGGGTTGCCAAGCCTGGGTGTGGCTCTGTCCCTGGGACAGTTAGCTGGGACTCTGCTGAAACTTTTGTCCTTGTCTCTCATGTCAAGTCTCTTTGATTCTCTTAGATTCATAGTTTTATTCAGAAAACCATGTCAGTCTTGCTAATTCTGAAGGAAAACTTTCTTTTTTTTCTGGAAGACTCCTCTGTTGCCTGGGTCACAGTAAACTAGGGAAGATAAGGGAGAAGTTTTCATATTCTTGTGCCTATACCTCTCCAGAAGAGAAAGGAGAGTCATTTGTGGTAATTATTATTCAAGCCTTTTTTGCCTCAACAAATATTTCTGTGTAGTGTCTGTGCAGGGCATGGGGGCTGGATGCTGGGGTAAATGAGATCCTCAGAGAGTTGGTCTTCAGGGAGTTCCATTGCAAGTGGGGGAAATAAAATTTTATTTAAATAATAACCCGGTATGAGAAATACTGTAATAATGGCA